ACGACCACACACAAACAAATGGAGTGAGTGGCATGACGTGGCACAAGTCAGGGTCGCTCCGGGTAATCGGATACTTCTCAGTCCCAGACATATTCCTCTCGTAGATTCTGCAGTCTTCTAGAAGGATATTAAGGCAGTAAGGGTGTTCCTCTAAGTGGTTGTCGATAAAGCCTTTTGGTAAATAAATTTAAAAGTTATATAACTGCCTCATAGAGATTTATTGAGAAATAAATACATTTTATGGAAATAATCAATTGTATAAGGATATCTTCCCAGGTTTCCAAAAAATGATTTTCACTTAAACTTTATTAAATAAGGCTTGAGTAAAAGTACTCGAAAACTTATGAAATATGTTATGAAAGAAACAGGGAATATCACCACACTATTAGGATCGGCTTGGCAATTACTCTTATCAATATGCTAATTTCGTAAAACGGCATACATTCGATTCAGCGAAATACCATAACTTGATTATTTTCCCGGCTTATCAGAACTGAACAATTTTTTGTTTCATATTTGCAAATCATGGTTACACTTACCTATACAAATAAATAATCAAAATATTTGCTTATTTAAGAGAGAAGCTTCGCTTTTATATTGTAATTAAGTATTTGGGAGAACATTTGTATTTTCACTTTTGCAAAGAGCCTTTCCCGATTTCACTGCACTGCTATAATTTGATTTGAATTTGTTGACTAATCTCAGCTGTCTCTCTCTCTCATTTTCTCTATCTCTAGCGCTGCGAATCTCCCAGTCTCTATCTCAACTTTTCAGCTGGACTCTTGAGACGTTCCCAAACAATCAGGCAAAGACCGCATGTCAATCGATTAGCGATTTCGCTGCTCGTCTGTCCGGTTCGGAAATATAATATTTTTGTTGTTTCTTGTGTAAATCTCCATTTGTTATATTTTTTTTCTGAATGAAAAAAAAAATTGATAAGATGTTGGGAATGCGTATAGACTTTAGACAAAAGAAAGCCCCCAAAACTCAAAATACTTTTTTTATAGAAACTAACAGAAATTAGCATTTATTAGCCGAAGGCGTCGGGGGAAAAATTATGCAGGCGCAAAAGTCTCGCGTCTGGCGGATATCAAAAAACTTCAACAAGTCAGATAAGACTGGGGGCAAAAAGAGAAGAAACGCAGATCAAAATATATACAAATATACAAATGTCTGTAGAAAAGTCGTCAACGAAAACAATGGAAAAGACGACAAATGGCGAAAAAAGTCGAAGAAACGACAACAAAAAAAAACAAAAATAGTAACAACAATCGGCAGAAACAGTAAAAACGAAACGAAATAAAGCAGCAAATTTCGGACTTCGACCCAGACAACTGGCCGATTCCGATTGGAATGAACTGATGACTATATATGAGGCTTTCAATCGGCGTGTGTGTGAGTAAACTTGATTATGAACTCTAATGATTCGCTCGGTTTATAGGGTAGAAGTGGGAGAGCCATAAACCGGGTATGCCCAACTCGTCATTGGATTATTCAAATGCCATTTTTTACACACATACATAATATTATAATCCTCTTATTCCCTGTTAATAATATGGCTTGTTATCTTGTCAGGCAAATGGTAAATAAAAAGGTTCAAAGAAATATGGTTTTATTGAAAAAACCTTACTTAGAATTCAATACAGAAATACATACATTTCAAACCAATTTTAAATTAGGTTTTGCACATATACAATAGAAGAGATTTTTACATTATCGACCTTCAACGATAAATAAACCTTCTTTTGAGCCTTTACCTATTTTTTTAAACAATTTTTTTCTCAATAAATTATTGGTCAATGAAAATTTTTTCTTTATATGGCTCCCACTAAAAATGCTCTCCTGACTAAATATGATTGCAGAGAGTGGAAGCCATAATCATAACCCTACGATTGTTTCCAAAATTATTGGGGGTCAGTCAATGACCAGGCGTCAATGTCGCCGCAACACGTGATTATCTGGCTGGACATCTCGCTGGTGATTTTCTTATCGAAGGAACAGGGGCTCCCTCAATCAGTCGCCACCCGCCTGCAGCGGGGGCTCTCCCACCCGATCCCCTCCCCCTTGGGCTGCTCCACTGCAGGACCAATAATGACCTTGGGGAATGTTGTCGTTCGTCGCTCGTCCGTTCTCTAATCTCATGCTCGGTTGCTGGTTGTAGTGGTGCTATGGTGATGCACTTAGAAAATGTTTCAATCACTTTTTAAGATTGTAGTTCTGTATTCTATTGTAGTTTTAAATAATGGTTTCTTAAAAGCATTTATTTAATTTTCTTAAAAAGATATTTTCGATTCAAAAAAATATAAAAACTAATTTTCAAAGAGTTAAGTTAATAAAATAAAATAAATAAAATTGAAAACTACTAAAAACAGCTGAATTTTAAAAGGCAAACATATTTTTAAAATTATTATTTAATTATTTTCTAGATGTCAGAGTTTTTTCGAGATAGTGATTTCCAGACCTATTTTTCTGGAATTCCCATGGATTTTTTTTTCAAGTGTGGTGTTGCTAGAGCTATGGTGTTTAGTGTGGCTGATTTCGTGGAGGTGGTCATGTGGGTGGCGCGGGAAGTGTTGTTGACGTCGACGCCCGGTCGGACAGGTGCTCAAGTCCATGGGTATCTCCGCATTGTGCGCTTGTGTTGGCTCTTTTATATAAAAAAACAAAATAGAGCGGCAAAGAATTCAGCTGATAAGACCGACTGCCTGGCTCTACCTTTTCTCACTCCGTCCAGAAGCCAAAGAAGCGACGCAGAAGCAGACAGAAGAACCAGACCAGACGCTTGATAAGCGGCCATGGGGCGTATGAGCGATATACATATATCGCGCGACAGAGACGGCACTATGGCAAAAACAAAAGACCTTGATTTGGCCCTATATATGTGTGTGCCCATGTCGTCAGCTGTTTAATTAGCTTTCGATTAATTCACTGGTCAATCGAGCTGCTGTCGCTGCTTCGTGATTTTCTCATGAAGTTTTTAATTAAAATTTTTGCTTTATTTTCTTCGGTTTTACGCAAATATTTTGCATTTTTCGAAAGGGTAGCGGGTGTAACATAAAAACATAATAACCATATTAATGGCCAGTCGTAAAGATGTTTGGAATGTGCCGGCCAAGTGAGTCAAATTTTCCGTGACAGCATACGAGGCGTATGCGTAACATTCCTATGCTCGGTGGGGGGAAAAGGGAAAAACCGAGGTGGGAGGCCAGGTGAATTTGTAAAGGTAAACCAAAGACGACAAAGCAATGAGAACTCTTCTACTTTTATGTGGGCGAGTGTGGGAATTTCTTACAGTCGTCAAAGAAATAATAGAAGCGCTGGGATTTTTCTTGTATTAAAATGTTTTCCCAAGCAATTTTCCTATTTTTTTTAAAGCTGTAACATTAATGGCAAGATAAATTCAAGAGAAAGAGACATATAGTTAAATATTTAAATATTTTGTGCATACCTAGCTTATAATGGAGAAACTTTAACTGAAATCTAATACTTTTTTTGAGTTAAAGTATTACCCACAATAAAAGTTAACAATTTCTTATATTGCATTTCCCTCGCTTCTATTATTATTACCACATTTGTATGTAAAAAGCAAAGAGAAAAAACTGAGACTGAGCCACATGTGCGGCTCTGTGTGTTGCCGAGTGTGAGTGTTTGTGTGTGTGAGTGTGTGTGGCATAGCCAAGAGGCAATGGCAATAGCAATAGCATAGCAATGGCAAAGGAAAAGCAAAAGGCAAGAGCAAAAGCAAAAGCAAAAGAGCTGATGAAGAGCTGGCTTACGCATGGGTTCATTGAACGGAAGTGATTTGCCTACTGCTGTGCGAAAGAGAGGGTGTGAGACACCTACCGAGAGAGAGGGGAGATACTACACGCGACTTTGACTTGGTTTTGTTCTGGTTCCTCTATTAAAACTCCATGGCCCGGGCCTTTGTTTTCATCGCCATAGCCATAGCCACAGCCAAAGTCAAACCGAAGCCAAAACCTTGTGGCTCCGATAGAGCAGAAAAGATAAAGCTCTTCTGGGAAGTTCTTAGCTTTTCTCGCAACCTAAGCCCGAGTTGGTAAGATTTAATCGAAGCTAAGCCAGGCACTTTGCTTTTTAGGCGAGAAAATCACAATTTTATAGAGTTATTTCTCTTAAAGGCCGCTAAAAAATGACGTTATCCCTTTAAACAAAGATGGGCTAAGCACTAACATTAAAAGAATTGGAATAGACAGTGTTCCTTTGCAGATTCAATTCATATAAATTTGAATAATTAATCCCCTATATTAAGTCCCAATTTATTTAACTTGAAAATATAAATTTTATCTAATTTCTTTTCAAAGTTTTTCAATTAATTTTTGGTGAAAAGGAAATGAGTCTTAAGCCCCTTAAATCCACCAAAGACACACCCCAAACAAAATTAAAATATACAGATATTTGTTATATTTTCCCCTTTTGTGAAATTTCTGACCCCCAAATAATAATTTATTTTTTCCCGCCTCGCGACTAATTTATTACAAGATGGTTTATGACAGCCACAAAAATTATTAAAGGGTTTAAAAGCATTCAAAATTGCTTTAAAACAAATGTTTTATATATTCTTAATACTTTTTTCGCACGTCTATTTGTAGAAAGGGGAATTGTTGGCGAGGGGGCGTGATGTCTGTCGTCTGGTGAGAACTAGTAAAAAATACCAGAGCTGATTTCAAAATTTATTGCATTTCTGTGGACAGTGGACAGTTTGCGACTGGATTTTTGTTGCTCTTTTTGTGAATTTTTATTGTTTTTCTTGTTTTTATTTGTGTGTGAGTGTTGACAGGAAGTCGCCGGAATGCGATTTATAGAGAGCAGATTTAAGATAGAACATGAATAGCATATAATTAGATAGCGCCTACAGTGCGGCTACTGAATATTGGGCACACTTTTTGCAGCTCCGAAGTTCAGTTACGTTGTACTTTTATGGCTAATCGTCTTTGAAGAAGGTGTTTCCCCTATATACATTTGTAAATATGCTTGCTCACCTTTATTCGACGTTTTTCTTTTCTTTTCTTGGATTTATTTTGTTGGAAATTGGTTTTAACTATATTTTGAAGATTAGATTGATTTAGGAATTGCGCTATTTTAAGGGCATAAATTTCCTAAATTTATTTAAGCTTGAGGCTTCTCTTTCGACACTTTTTGTGACACTTTTTTTGACGAATTTATCTATGCAACACTTATAAACATGGCTTTATTTTGTAGCTCTTCAGTTGTAAATTGAATTTTAACTTTATTTGTTGCTTTTGTTGATCTCTGTTAATTTTTTTTAGTGTTATTATTGCTGCTTTGAATTTGTGTTATTTCTTTTGTATTTGTTATTATTATTTTTTTGCGGCTATTAGGAATGCTTTTGAGTACAGGAACGCTGGCTATGTATGTGTGTATGTGTGTTGTATCTGTGGTTTTGTTTATTTATTTATTATTTGCTGGTATTTATTTTGTTTCACTTTTGTTTTGTTGCTGCTTGTTGATGCTTAACGCTTGTTTGTTGTTGTTTTGTTTGGGGTTTCCTACTGATTTTCTAGGTGTTTTTAAGCTTGGTTTGCATTTATTTTTAATACGCAAAGTTTCAATGAGCGTAAAAAACTTTGCTTTGAATATTTCCCGATTAAAATTGATTTAGGAATTGCGCTATATTAAATTTGTTTAAACTTGGCTTTTAGACACTTTTCTGTGCACATTTTTGGGCGAATTTTATTTATTTTATATTTTTATATCACGACGTCCGGTCCGCAACCGAACTGACTGACGACTGATTTCGCTTTAAAAACGCCGCAGCAGATAGATGTTTTCGCCGCAGCGCAGCAGATGTAGATGTTTTCGCCGCTGTTGTCCCACTGTAAACAATATTTGGAACGCAGTGGCAATGGAACGGGGCCAAGCTTTCGAGTGCCTGCCGTCTCGTTCTCTCTCTCTCTTTTCGTTTTATTTTAATAATTATTGTTGGCTTGGCGCAAAACAATTGTTTTCCCGCATACACACACTAGCATTGAAAGTATGCCAACACAACAACAAAAGCGACAGTGACAGTCATGACGTAACGTCGCCTTGTTGTTGCTACACTTCCATTTATTTGTTTGGTTTCGAATCAATCATTTGATTTCAAATTAACTAAGGCACAAACACAAGCACACACAAACATTATCTTGCTGTTGTTGTTGGCGATCGCTGGATTTTATTGTTGTATATTTGGCGGACAACGAACAACACACACGTCCGCAGCGTCGGAGAGTTTCTGACCGTTTTAATATGAAATGAGAGAGAAGCGCAGAAATATTAACCACCGCACCCCATCCCCCCAATACCTTTTTAACAGCGAAAATAGTGCTGTTAAAGCGCCAGCGAGAGGATACCGAAACGATGGCAAAGAAACGGGCTTTGGGGGTGGGAGTGACCAAGAGTGAGAGACCGAGAGCACACAGCTGTTAATGTTACTGTTAACAGGGGGGGCGGTGGAGAAAGGGGGAGGAAATGCAGCCAGAGAGCAGAGAGAAAATTATAGAGAGAAAGCGCAAAGTTAACTGGCGAATTGCAAATTCATTACAAAAATTACTTCACAAGCTTGGCTTTTTTTATTTTTATTTTTCTTCGCAATTTTTTGTTAAGTATTGCTTTAGTTAGGCTTTCTCTGTTTTGTTTAACCTTTGTAAATTTATATTACTAAATTACAAATATTTAGACTATCAATTGTGACTCTAATACGAAAATATTATTTTTAGGAAAGCATTTATATTTTACTTTAATGTGTAACATTTTTTTGTCCAAATCAAAACAATATTCAATTTTTTTGTACTTGTGCATTTCGATCCTATCTACCGTAATTTTAATTTCATAAAATTATTTGTATTCATATATTTATACCCGTTACTCGTAGAGTAAAAGGGTATATTGTATTCGTGCAAAAGTATGTAACAGCTAGAAGGAAGCGTTTCCGACCCTATAAAGTATATATATTCTTGATCAGGGTCACTAGCCGAGTCGATATAGCCATGTCCGTCTGTCCGTCTGTCCGTCTGTCCGTCTGTCCGTCTGTCTGTCCGTCTGTCTGTCTGTCCGTATGAACGCTGAGATCTCGGAAACTATAAAAGCTAGAAGATTGGCATTTTGCATGCAGATTCTAGGAGTTCCTACGCAGCGCAAGTTTGTTTCAAAAAGGTGCCACGCCCCCTTTAACGCCCACAATTGCTTATATACGATTTTAAAAATTTAAATATTTCGGAAAAGTAAAAATGCAGTTTTATTGTGTTTATCGATACCTATCGAAATGTAGAAGAAATTTTTCAAATCGGACCATTCGTTAAAAAGTTATGCGTGATCAAAGTTTCTATCTCCATCTCCCTCGCACTCCCTTTACCTGTGTAACGGGTATCTGATAGTCGGGGCACCCGACTATAGCGTTCTCTCTTGTTTTTGTATTGTGTGAGTGCTATCTCCTATTTACTTTTTCCTTTACTACACAATTTGTCTACATTTTTTTATCTTTCTCCACTTGCCACACATTTATTTGCTCATAAATATTTATTTCACTTTTTTGTTGTTAAGCTGAATTTCGGTTAGCTCATTGTCACTCGATTTTTTGCGGTTTTTCTGTTTGCCGACTTGAGCCGCCGTGCAAAGTCCAAGAAATTAAAGTGTCAGACGGGCGGTCGGGGTGGTGGTGTTGCGGGGGGGGGGGAGGGGCGCCGACAACCGCACGTTAATTAAATTTATTTATGCAGCTTTATTTGGCCTTTGTTTTATTTTTTGTTTTGCCTTTATTTTTAATGATATGATTCACATGTACATTCTTTTGATGATACGGGATTCGACATTTTTTTAGTGTCCCAATTACTGGGTGATTGTGGAGTATATGCATTTTTGATCACCACTCTAATAAAAAAATCGCAGCAAAATGTATACAAATTCAATAAAATAAATCCACAATTTCTGCTTGCAATAATTTATACAGATGTGGATGTTTTTACATTCTTTACATGATCATGCCATTTTTTAGATTTAAGCTTATAATTAGTATAAATACCAATGTATTTATATATTATCACAATGGACAATGTTTTCAAATAGTAAGATCTTACAATTTAAAAATTACGTATTTTGTTAAGAAATAAATTATTTTATTTATTTCTTATGCAATAAAAACTGTTTTACGCTTAAAATATTTCATACACATTTCTTTCAATTAAGATGAATACTGGGTACCTCATATCTCTAGAACTGAGTTGATTATCATTTTTGTTTGCCAGACATTGTTGCTTTGTTTTAAAATAGAAACTTCAAATGTATTAGCATGTCTGCGGATTTGTTATTTTGTTGCTGGCTAGCCGGTTGTTGTTAATCGAATGTGTTGTGTCGCTGGGGTCCACCAATCACCGACCCCCGCCCCCGCCAGTGCTGTCCCCCTCGTGGGCCGCCCCTGTAACTACAGCACCCCCGCTGCGCACTTTTCAGCCGACAGCCGACAACCGACGACGGCAACAATTGAGACAACTTATCATGAAGTGCTAATTAACATTGTCTGGCCGGGTCTCTCACGTATGCCAATGTCTGGCGACCTACCTGCGGTTACTAGGAGAACGCCGCCCCTGCACCACCGCCCCCCTGAGCACCACCGGCACCACCTATAACCCACCCAGTCGACCGAAAAAAAAAAAACAAAACTCACCCAAAACTGGCACTTGGTCGCGTCTCTCGTCTGTGTTTGCTTTTTTTGGCATACAAAGAAATACGTTTATTTATTTTTTTCCTACCATGAATATTCCCAAAAGTTGGGGAAAAATTATTTTATGTACAAAAAAAAAAAGAAGAATAATTGTGTACACATACGACGAGACGGAACATTTTTGTTTATGTTGATAATCTACTATGTGCTGACGTATCTCCTATTTTATTTTTTCCCCCTCTTTTTTTATGCGGGGGGAAGACGAATTCTGGGTCTGCAGGTTGTGTGCGGTGGCAATTTGTTTTCTGTTGACTTTTTGGCGGCTGCTTTGAGCCACCTGGCCGGGCAATCGATTGATCGGTTGGATCGATTCGATCGATGCGATCAAGTGATCGTGCCAAGGCTGTGAGCTGTCTGTCTGCATTTATAAATAAATTGTGGCAATTAAATAAATGAAATAGATGCATATGCGTGCATTTTTAATTGTCAGCCAGTGCTGAGGCGGTGCACGTGTCGTATACGTAATAAGTACTAGAGTCACCCTTTGGCACCATTACCTCATCCCCCAGGCGATCAATTAAACTTTGCCACGAGAATCGCAATTCAGGGTTCTTGTTTTCGAAAACTTTGTGGCACAGAATACATTTTTAACATAAATATTAATATAAACTTTTTAAGAATACAATTTATCCACCAGACAAAGTTGTTAGACTTTTAAAGAGTTTACGAAGATAATATTAATACACTTTATTTAATTTACTTATGTTTTTTTCAGAAATAGCACAATACATATTTAAAAACTTACAAATTATGTTCAATGAGCTCAATTAATTGGATAATCATCACCTCACTATTTGTTTATTGAAGTTTAAATACTTTAATTTATGTGATAATTTTCTGTCAGTGTTTGTAATGTTTCAAATCATTCTGCACACTTTAAAAATATCTCTTTTCTGTGATAATATGAACTAAACTTTCACTTTATCCTGGTCCAAAAAAACTGACAATTTTTATTTGTCCTTTCTGCGATCAGTGCAGCCTTCGACCGCTTATCAATTTAGCCAACTTCTGGGAAACTAAGAGATGCACCCTGGTTTCCTCCTTTATAAAGGGGATCGCCCACATGTGTGCATTTATCGGGATGCTAGAGTGTTAGTCATTAACTTGCTATTGTTGTGGCTGATGAAAAAATACTACTTTTGACTCATTGTTGCCTTTGGCAGAGCGTCAACCCACCGATTCCTCAGCCTTTTCTGCTTTTCTGCTGCTGTTTGGCTTGCTGTGATAAGCAGACTGTGGCGAGACAACAAAAGACATCGCAGACAAGTTTGCACTTACTTACATGCACCGATGTACCGATGTTGTACCGATGCGATGTGATGTGATGTGATGCGATGGTGCTGCTTTTGATATTTTTAGACACCGCCAGTCCGCCTGCCGCGGCGAACAATATATATATACAAAAAAAGTAAATATAAAAAATAAAGGCGGAGGCAAAGGCAAATGGCGTTGGCACATCTCACACACAAATCGCATCGCCTCACAAGCTGGCCAGACAATAAGTCTAGTCGGGCATCGGTTCAGATTCAGATACAGATACAGATGCTGATTGCGAAACACACGACTGTTCACCCAGTTCATTCAAAATTTGCCACAATTGATGATGCATCGATGAGTTAGCACACGGAGAAAAACATTTGGATACAGAGACAGGTGATCAAAATCGTTTTTTACAAGCAGATTTCAAACAGGTCTTCTAACTTTGGGCACATAAATTTAAAAAAAATATTCAAAGGAACATATTATTTGGAAATAAAACAACTAAATAATGTTTTGTTATTATAATTTATATTTTCTTAGCTTAAGGTATTTAAAAAAAAATAATATTTTATAATTAATATAACATAAAAGAACTGTGTCTAAAATATTGCACAACAATTTTGGTATGTATTATATTTAGGATTTCTTATTAAAATGATTTTTTCACAGTAACATTTTTTAGTAATTTGTAATCTTAGGAATTATTCGCTCGGTGCACAAACTTCGATTTATCATTGGATGCAACAGGTACAAACGTGGCCAATGGCACCCCGAAGATTCCTTCGCGCTAATGAATTTCCTGCCGCCTTTCTCCGCTCTCAAAGGCAGCCAGCTCATTAAGCCCTCCATTGACTGGCTAAAGATGGAACAATGGCCAATACAAAGACCCCGGGCTGGAGCCCGAATCATAACTCATTGAACTTTTGCCGGCAGCAGCAGTTGAAACATAAAAAGTGTCAATCAGTGACTCTGCTGTGGCAACGATGGCGACGCCTCCAAAGTCCCATTACAATGCCATTTTTATGGACACCGCTGGCGGGGATGTGGCAGCAGCTGGAGAAGAGTAAGCGGCTCCAACTGAAGGGGGAGGGGCAGGGGGAGGACCTACAGCAGAAACAGCAGACGTCAGGGTCGTAAATGTAGTAATAATAGTCGCCGAGGGCCAACGGCAACGTTTGCTAGTTGCGGTCGTAATTTCTTGGGGGTGGGACGGCGCATCATGCACTGAGCGATAAATCGAAATCTAGGATTAGGATTCAGATTGCAGATGTATCTTATATGGCTAAAACTCTATTTTCAAAAATATCAAGAAAGTCCAATGAATGTCAAATGCGTTAAAAAAATATATTTTCAAAAACAAATCTTTTCCCAGTGTTTTTAATAATAAATTCCCTAAAATAATTGTTTATTTAAATTAATATTACGACTTTAGTTAAGACTAAAACTGAGTTGCAAAAGATTACGGTGTTACTAAAGCAAATTAGTTAGGATTGTGGCAATATTGCGTATACGCCAAGGGGGACTGTTTTATATTTTCATCTTGAACTTTTAAGTATTTTTTATATTCTTGTTTTTATGCTATTATCTTTTGTATTATCCAACTGTAAATAAAGAATTTTTCAGTTATGTTATTTTTGATTTAAGGAATTCGATTCAATTTTTGTAAATCTTAGAAAATTCCTCTCAGTGTGGTGGTGGTTCATTCGGGCCATTGGCTGGTGTTGAAAAGCAAGACATAAATGTCTAACATATGCTGAGGATGGCTTTTGGAGTTGCCCGTCGAGGCGACAGGTCTATTACAAAAAGCCTGCTTATGACGGGTTATTGCACGCCTTTTGTGCCAGACCAAAACCACAAGCCACTTTTGACGAATACGGATGTCCTTTGGTGAGGATGTGATCGATGAGTGAAAGTAGAATTAATTTCTAGTACAGAAATAATTTTCATCTATTTTTCATTTTACTTTTGATCACTTTTTAAATACCACTGGCTTAAATTAATTGATTTTTAATATTTATGAATAATTCTCTGTTAAAAACACGTGTGGAAAACGGCGACATTAGAAGAGAAGGCGTCACGCAATTAAATTATAAATTCTGATTATAAAAATAAACGGAAATGTGAAATCAGAATTCAAAAAGAAACAGATGAAAACAATTTTATATATGCTTTTATATTACAAAACCATTTTTAAGCAGAGGATATTATACTCCTCCGACCATTGCATTTTTAAATATTAAGGCATAACATAACAGATGAAAAAGATTTTCAGTTACAAAAGATTTTCAATAAATTGAAAACTGACGTTTGTGTCGAACTGCGGCTTCCTAAAGAACTTCCAATTCATTGCGAATAAATAATCGCCGGAGGGCCAAGGAAGTCCCTTGAACGGTTCAGTGGTCAAATACATGTTCTTTATGATTAAATCACCCTTGAAAATTAATAAATATTAAGGATGGTATTATCGGATGTATAGAAAACTTACGGATAACGGGCAAGTGTGATTCACATTTGTAAAGTTTCTGAAAAAGTTGTATATCATAACACCCATGAAGTCATAGGGTTTTCTTAAAAATCGGCAACTATCGATCTCTACATTAATTAGCCAGGGCTTATAGCCACTTTCCTTTTTGAAGAGCCGGTAAGTCACTCTGATGTCGGAGGTCGGGTATAATAGGGTAGCATTGAAGTTGAACACTACTTTGGATCGACTAATCGCTTTCAAACGACACAAATTGACCCGCACCCACGATTTATTATGACTTGTGCACACCACATTGGTCATTTTAAATATGACAGAATTCTGGAAATTAAATATTATTCAGAGATCTCTTTTCTATGTAGGTAAAAAATAAAACTCACACTTATCCCACAAGTCAATAAAAATGTTAGGGATGCAACCACTATTATAGAGCTCCGCATGATTTATAAACATTGAATAAACGTAATAACAGATGGAACTACATTTTATAGCATTTATTGTAACACAAATATAATTTTTATTTAATTGGGACTGCCGCGAATGGTTTCAATTATTAAATAATATGATTTTTTTATAATTGATAAGTATTATACTTTGATATATCTGAGCAAATGTAAATGCCATAATAATTATGCTTTAAAATCGTTTTCAATAATCGTAGTTACATACATATAGAATTTCTTTTACTATTATTATAACAAACAAGAAAGGAAAGCTAACTTCGGGCGGAGCCGAAGTTGATATACCCTTGCAGAATACTCTGTAAATTATATTCTCCAAAATTATTCATATGATGCATTCTTAATACTCATAGAAAATCCCAACTTCCTAACTTAACAAACACCAAAGTTATGGCATTTCCGATCAATCAGTTATTTGGCGTCTATAGGATATATATTTCTTGTTTTTTTTTATTTGTGCTTTGCTTTTAAACAATTTTTAAAAGTGCTGGTATAGATATTTATTATATATTTTGCATAATTTTCCCACAGCTTGTAAAATATTTAATAAATACAGACGAGAGGGTTATCTGTTATAAATTAATTTTATTTCTCTTCCGGCATTGACATAAAATGCCTTGGACCATCAAAAGAAATCTTCTACGAATTGGAAACTAACGTTGGTTACAAACTGAACTTTCCGATAGAAAAGCCAGTTCAATTGCACCATATATTCGCCGGTTGGATACGGAAGAGTTTTAATCTCAGTGGTGAGATACATTCCCCTTATTAGAATATCACCCTTTAAGCAAATAACATAAAAGAATTAAAAGGTTATCTAGTTTTAAATACTTGAGTACTTACTTTAAATGGGCACGTGTGATTGATATTTGAAAAGGGCTTATAAGCGTTGTATATCAATATCGTCAACGCATCATAGGGCTTCCTTAAAAATCGACAGCCGTCGATTTTTTTTCGGTACAGCCATGGCTTATATCCATTCTCCCTTTTAAAATATCTATAGTCTTGAATAATGTGGCTAGCAGGATGATGAAATGTGGCATTAAAATTAAAAACAGTTCTATTTCTGCTCATCGCCTTCAAGCGGCACTCATTAATCGTAACCCACGATTTGTTGAAGCTTTCACAATTCACATTCGTGAGTTTATAGGTGGAAGAATCCTAGTAATTAATAAACACTCGATTTACCCAAAACTTATTTATATAATTATTGGACTTACACATAGTCTCCAGGTGAAAAATAATGTTAGAATACCGAAAAGTTTTAGTGTGTTCTGCATGACTTTCACAGGTTAAATACATTTTATCAAATTTATTTCTCATATTTAACACCGGCAAGTAACAATTATAATCTATTTTTAAAAGCTTAAATTTATATGGAACTAGTGCCTTTTATAATTAAAAACAGAAAATTATTTGAATGTAGGTATTTAAACAGATTATTCAAATGGAAAAATGCTTGACAATTATTTTGTGGTGATTACAAAATACATTTTGTAAACAAAAATTATTAATTTTAAAAGTATTTTCAAGAAATACATATTAATTATCAAAATATTATAGTTTAATAAAATTGCCTATAACTATCATAGTTACCAATTACTCTGCAATTGCCACAAATCGAAGTTAATAAAAAAGGTTGTATTGAAAAAGCAGAGTTAAAAGTATCAATAGAAAGAAAGAGCCTTCAGTCCTACAATAAAATCCAGTTGAGCCCAGCCAGCGGGCACAAAAAGGTGCTGAAAGTCAAAGGAGTTGTGTGGCAAGTGCTCATTATACAAATTGCACAAGGAGTCGAAAGATCCTGGCACAAAACGGGAGAAAATGGGAACGCTAGAAGTCAGCCAAACCTTGGAAAGCCGCAGAGACATTGGTGCAATGACTGACAGACTGACTGACACACTTCGAAAGTCGCACCGAATTCATATTTAAATGAACGCTTTTTAAAAGTGCATAATTTTCCTCCAGCTTCTAAAATTTGCAATAAATACAGGCGATAAGGTTATACGCATATGTTAGTTTTATTTCTCTTCCGGCATTGACAAAAAATGCCTTGGACCATCAAAAGAAATCTTCTACGAATTCGAAACTAATATTGGTTACAAACTGAACTTTCTGATAGAAAAGCCAATTCAATTGCACCATATATTGGCCGGTTGGATACGGAAGTGTTCTAATCTCAGTGGTGAGATACATTCCTCTTATTAGAATATCACCCTTTAAGCAAATTACACAAAAGAATTAAAAGGTTATCTAGTTTTAAATACTCAAGTACTTACGTTAAGTGGGCAAGTGTGATTGATATTTGAAAAGGGCTTATAAGCATTGTATATCAATATCGTCAACGCATCATAGGGTTTCCTTAAAAATCGACAGCTGTCGATTTTTTTTCGGTACAGCCATGGTTTATACCCACTTTCCCTTTTTAACAATCTATAGTCTTGAACAATGTGGCTAGCCGGATGATGAAATGTGGCATTGAAATTAAAAACAGTTCTATTTCTGCTCATCGCCTTCAAGCGACACTCATTAATCGTAACCCACGATTTGTTGAAGCTCTCACATATTACGTTCGTGAGTTTATAGGTGGCAGAATCCTGTTAATTAATAAACACTTGATTGACCAAAAACGTATTAATATAATTACTGGACTTACACATAATCTCCAGGTAAAAAATAATGTTAGAATACCGAAAAGTTTTAGTGTGTTCTGCATGACTTTCACAGGTTGAATAAATTTTATAAAATTTATTTCTCATATTTAAAACTGGCAAAAACAATTATATTTGATTATAATTAAAAACAGAAAATATTGGTATATGGTTATTGGATATGGGTATTTAAACAGATTATTCAAATGGAAAAATGCTTAACAATTATTTTGTGGTACTTATGTACCTATGTTTACTAAATACACATATCGTTGCAGTCATTTTTACATATTTAATTACAAAATACATTACATATAGAAAAACTAATTCATTTTAAAAGTATTTTCAGGAAATACAAAAAACCAGCTATACACTTTCAATAATTTTCAAAATACAATAATTTAATCAAATTGCCTATAACTTAAATGTAATCATAGTTACCGATTACGCTGCAATTGCCACAAATCGAAGTTAATAAAAAAGGTTGTATTGAAAGAGCAGTGTTAAATGTATCAAAAGAAAGAAAGAGCCTTCATTCCTACAATAAAATCCAGTTGGGCCCAGCCAGCGGGCACAAAAAGGTGCTGAAAGTCAAAGGAGTTGTGTGGCAAATGCTCATTATACAAATTGCACAAGGAGTCGAAAGATCCTGGCACAAAACGAGGGAAAATGGGAACGCTAAGAAGTCAGCCAAAGGCCCCTGGACAACACACCTTGGAAAGCCGCAGAGACATTGATGCAATGACTGACAAACTGACTGACTGACAGACTGACTGGCAATCCTTCGAAAGTCGCACTGAATTCAAATTCAAATTCAAATGAACCCGATGCCGGGCAAAAGAATCTATTAAGATGTTATCAGGAGGGGTGAATCAGTGCACATCCATGCGATTGTTGCCAGACAATTTGGGTCGGGATGAAGCTGGCGCGGAGGCAGCCCACAATTGCGGCCATTAGTGCGGATCGAGGGGCACGAACAGCGGCAGTCTGGCTCTGGATCTGAATCTCAGTCTGCAACTCGGTCTGCGGAGGGGGGATGGGAATGGCAAGGGGGTTGGGGGTATGAGGCTGAGTAGGGTAGTCGATGCCAAAGCAACCCTTTTTCTTGTCTCGCCCTGCGTGTGTGTTTTTTTTCCGTTCGTTCGTTTTGTAGACATTTTTCGTATGACAACGACAAATATTTGCCGGATAATATGAATAACAAAGCAGAAGGCAGTGAAGGCGAGAGAAGAGGCCACATCAGAGGGCGCAGAAAGGGGGCGTTGTGGGAGGTTGGGCGGTTCAGTGGGTGGTTGAGGGCCGAACACAGGGTGGTTAGCCAGCCAACCTACTTAAGCCGCAGTTAGAGACCCAGACTCCGCTCTCCAGTCTTCCGTTCAGATTTGTACAATCAAAAAAATGACGAACACCTCTTTAACCTTATTGGAATACCAAAATATATATTGAGAATTATCTATTTGCTGTTAGTTAATTTGTACTAAATGTTTTAGTCCGCCAATTTAACTGAAGTTTGATTTTATCTAATAGTTATATATTATTAAAGCTTATTATTATTTATGAATGCTTAAAAATATATAATTTATTTTCATTGACAACCGTTTTAAGTGCAGACTTTGATCTGGTCTTTTAATCGTTCTATTTTCCACAGTGTATTTCTGGCCGGGGCCAGACGACTACAACTTAAACTAAAAGGCTGCACCACGGTGTTGCTGCCGCTGGTGTTGCCGCTGTGTTGTTGTCGCCGGTGTCTGAGACGCAGACAACTTCAAAATGGAGCAGAGCTGGAACTGGCGAAGGAGATGGAGTTGGAGATGGAGCCGGAGAATAGCTCCGGTGGCCCTAGTCGACGGCTGGCTGGACTGACTGACACAAAAGTGCTTTTGTTGCAAAGTTTAATGAAGAAGAACACGAGATGAGGACGAAGGAGCGGAGGAACAGATTTGCCAGGACAAATGAGACATGCAAAGCTTGGGTGAAAGTAATACATAGAAAGGGAATAATTAATGCTGTTGAACCGAATGGAACTTTTTTTAAACAGCCATATGACTTGCTGAACTGCGCTCATTAAACAAAAAAAGTTTTTAGAGAAAAACTTAATGACGTGGTCGTTGGATAGTTTAAAAAGATTGAGCTTTATTTCTAGAAAAAGTAAAGGAAGACTTGATTAATAACGTCTACAACAAATTAAAACCAATTTGTGATAAGATTCCAAGAAAGTAGTCAATCGTTTTGATAAAAGTACTCTTATAGAACATTAAATCTTTTATTCTAAAGTACGGAATGAAATAAAGTGATGATAAACTTTAAATAACCTAAAATAGCATAAAGGGTCATATATTGGTTTTAACGTGGCTTAAAAACTTTTCTATTCCTCTCACCTTATGTCATTATTTGATTATATATATATTTATTTATATGAAGCCGCGTAAAATCGGCCAGTTAGTCGCCATTTGCTGTGACACTAAGCTGACTGATGCGACGCCACAATTCCGCAGAAGGCATTGGCCTCTTGTCAATAAGCCCATAACCCCGATCTTTTCTGGACACAAAAATTGCCCACTGTCTGGACAGAGAAAAACAAAAACTAAAAAGGGCAAAAAAAATAAAAACTAAAAAAAAAGGAAAAACGAAAAAACCCAAGTGCATTGCAGCGACTACAAAAAATTGCATGCTGAGCTTTGCTGTTGCTTCGGTTGGTGTTGCTGTTGCTGCTGATGTTGTTGCTGGTGATTTTGATGCTGTTGTTGCTGTAGTTGCTGTTGTTGTTGTTTCTGTTGTTGTTTCTTTTGTAGTTGTTGTAGTTGCCGTTGTTGTTGCTGCTGTTGTTGCTGCTGTTGTAGTTGCTGTTGCTGCTGATGTTGCTGATGTTGCTGTCGTTGCTTCTGCTGCTTTTACCTCTCCTGCGATGCACTTCAGACGACGTCGACGACGACGCTTTGTTGCAGCCCAATACAATCGACACACAGACAGGGGCGGTGTGAGGGGGTTGCAAAAAATGCAAGGGGATCGGGGAGAGGGGGGATTGTGCTGACGACAACAGACGGGATCGCGAAGGGTTTGGTTTTTTTTATTTTGTATGTGGGGTGCGGAGAAGGGCGGCTTGGCAGTGGGACAGAGGGGTTTCTGCGGGGGTAGAACTGCAGACCGTGGCAGACAAAACAATATGTTTGTTTGGATTATATCCTACATACACACACGAGCACAGCACACACACAGTTGCAGCGATGCGACGTCGCTTCTTTGTATGCGCAAACAATTGGAGCAGGCGGAAGTTGCATGGCGGCGACGACTGACGACCGACGACCGACGACGCTTCTCGGTTGTCCGGACAGCCAGTGAGAGTGAGCGGTATGGCCAAGGGCCAGGAGCCAGAGTGGGACAGAGGATGGCAAGGAAAAGGGAGAGGACGAGTCACGACCGAACACCCCATGGTGCACCTTGAAAATTCCTTCCTTTTCGTATCTACGCTCCCAGCTTCACTTGGCCCTACGCCTTGATTAACTGTCAGTG